CGTGCGGCTCTCGGCCTCTTCCCTCGTCGTGCCCAGCCCCGGCCCCCCGCCATCCCCGCGCCCCCTCCCTGCCGCCGGCCGAGATGGCGGATCCAGCCGAATGCAGCATCAAAGTGATGTGCAGGTTCCGGCCCCTCAACGAAGCGGAGATCCTCCGCGGGGACAAATTCATCCCCAAATTTAAAGGCGATGAGACCGTGGTGATCGGGGTAAGTGCCGGGGCGTCTGGTCTCCCCTCCGGCTTCGCGCCGCAGCCCGGCGCTCCGACGCCCCAGACGGAGAGGAGATAGTTGGGTTGCCCCTTCGGACATCCCCGCGGGGCTGCCCTCCCGGGTGGCCGTGCCGAGACACCCCTCAGCCCCCGCCCTACAGTTCCCTCCCGGGCGTGTGCAGGGGCCACTGGGGGCGGCGGGGCGGGCCCCGGGTGTCGGAGTGGGGGTGGGGGGCGAGGAAGGGCTCGGCGCCGCCATTGTTGGCGGGGTGGGGGCCCGGGTGGGCCTATTGTTCCCCACACTCGCCACGCCGCGTGGGTAATGTGTTCGGATCACCTTCAAACCGGGATGCCCAGGCCACCTTTAAAGTATGAGCTCTGCGACCCACGAATACTTCCAGGCATCAGTTCTATGGACCGAACACTTTGCCTCTTCTCACGCCCTTAGCAAAAAAAGAAGAAAAGGTTCAGGGATGTCAGACGAAAATCGTAGTCTCGTCTCAGAGCTCCTGCGGCCGTGTAGACGCGGCTCCCCGCGGTGTTTCACCTGTTCCGCGCGGGAAGTGGAGGGCGGAGGGAACAACACTGGTGGTCTTGGTGTCCTCAGGCGGCCTAGTGTGTCTCCTTCTACTTCTCTCACCCCAGGCTGCCCTAGATATGGAGGCCGGGTTTGATCCCTCTCTGCTGGGACGACTCTCCCGCCCACCCCCCACACACCTGATGTCCGCACACCCGCGAATGTGCTTCGCGCTGGGTGGAGAGGAGACCGTGTCCACATTTTTGGGGCGAGCGGGCCCAGAGCGCAGCCAAATAGCCCCTCTGTGCCCAGAGCAGAAGTTACTTTGTGTGGCTAGGGCCTCCCTCCCTCTTGATCTCCCTTCCCCACCTTTTCTCCCCTATGCCCTCCTCTGACTTAGCTCCCTCTCTGCAGAGGGGTCTGCTGGTGGGGGGAGGGAGTACCAGTGGTTTTTAGTTCTTAAAGGAATATGTTAAATGAAATAAACCAGCTCTGTCCCCCGCCCTTTCCCTATCCCTGTCCCCAACGTGTGCGGCTGACGGTGCCCTCATTGTATGCGAGCCGCGTGGGGAGGGACCGAGTTAATGGGAGCCTCCCGGTCCCCGCTGACACGTTCCTGGCAGTCCGCTGGAGGCTGCTGATGCAGCCTTCCCATCCCCAGCATTGATTAAGTGATGTCATCTCGATCACTGAGCATGCTCCGACTAGCCCCCTCCCCCTTCCATTCCCCCAGTGGTTTGTGTATTTAGGTCAAGTGATTGACAGGTGACAATTTACGGAGGGTATGGCGGTGGTCCGCCCGGCCTTTCTCAAGCGCCAGAGGCCCAGGCTGTCCACAGCATCGCTGACAAGGTTGTCTGCCGCAGTCCCTGCGAAGGGCCCCGGGGACCAGCAGGTGCTAGCTGTACCGGTAGGCGGGCGCTCTCCGCGCTGGCGGAACCGAGGCAAGCGTCTGGCCTCAGAGCTTCATCCTGTACCTAGCGTAAGAAGGCAGCTCCCCTTGACAACCCCTTCTTCCTTGCCCATTTTCGCAGTTGTCAGCAAAAGCTTACCTCCATATGCTTGTGGATGGGGTTCATTCTGAAAGCTGACTTGTGAGGGCAAGAAAGGGGTTTTCTCTCTGCTAAGTGTTAACTTGCAGAGATGTATGCTACAATTATTGATGAGGAGGGAGATTCTACAGTTAATGGTAGATGTGGGTTAATGACATATCGTGGGCAGTACCTGGGGCAGATAGGGCTTGTTTGGGTTACAGCTCTCAGCCAGGTTCTCATCTGCTGTTTCCTGAGCCAGACTGTGGTTTAGATAGAGGGGGAGTTACTGGTACATCTAGTCCCTGACCCTTGGCTTGTAACAATTTTTAAACAAATAATTGTGCGGCACTGGAACATGTTTTGGTGGCCCTATTTTTTTTTCCTGAGGTTTTAAAGAAGAGCCTGAAGAAGTTCTCCTCCAGCTCCTCCTCCTCCTGGCTCTTTTTCTTTCCCTCTTGCTTCCCCTCCCCCTCCCTCCTCACTCCTTCCTCCCTCCCCTTCCTCCCTCCCCTTCCTCCACCAGGACCAATGAAATAGAGTAATAAATCATCTTATTTGATCTGTGTGCAAGGCAGAGATCTTTAATTTTAGGTTTATCCTTCTTTCATATTATTACATTACCAGAAGTATGTATTTATTCCCCATCTAAACATACATATGTTATTGGCTAAATAAATTAAGACCAAGTCACCATATAAAATAAGAAATTTAAACAAAAAAATTGGGGGGGGGATACACATGTTGCTTTTCATCTATAAAGTAACTTTCGCTCATCCTACTAGATTCCTTTAATAAAAAAGACTTTTTATTGAAATAAAGCATTTATATAGAAAAGCGTTATCATAAGTGTATGGCTTGATGACTTTTGACAAAGTAAATGTTCCCTATAACCATCTCACAGACTAAGAAATAGACATTTTCAGGACCCCAGAAGTCTCCTGTATTAGTTCATTTCAGTTGTTTATAACAAAAAACGGAACTGGGTTTTGTATAAAGAAAATGAAATTTATTGCTTACAGTTTCAGAGGCTAGGAAGTCTAGTGACTCAGGGTATCACACTGAGAAATGGCAGAGCAGAGAGAGCAGAGAGACCAAACTCCTTGTTCACTCTCTTTTTAAAGCCCTCAGAACCATGCCCCTGGCCACCATCATTAATCCATTCACTACTGCACAGTCCTACAATCTAATCACCTCTTCTAGGCTCCACTTTCAATTACCATAATAGGATTTCCCACCCTCTAAACAGTCACAGTGGGGGCCAAGTTTCTAATACATAAAACTTGGGGGACACGATTCAAGCTGCTGTGAGTTTTGAGGGAACATAATTCAATCCACTACGTCTCCCTAGTGTCCCTTGCAGTCTCTCAGGGTAACCAGTATCAGGGTAACCACTTCTGACTTCTGATGCCATAGATTAATTTGCCTGGTTTCTTTTTGTTTGTTTTTTTATTAATTTTATGTACATAAAACCATACATTATGTTCTCTTTTGTGTGTGGCTTCTGGCAGTGTGCATTACTCTTGTCAAATTCATCCTCATTTTTCTGTAGTATTCCATGGTATGAATATACCACAATTTATTTATCTATTAACTGTTGGTAGATATTTGGATAGTTTCCAGTTTGGGGCTAATATGGATATTGCTGTTACCACCATTCTTTTACACATTTTTTGGTGTGAGTATATATAGAACAGAAGACTGCCAGGTGTTAAAGGGTGTTGGGACTTGGGTTGGCATGTGCTAGGACCCTTCCTGTTCCGAATTAATAAAGTGGAACTAAAGGAGATGACAGTTCTGGCAGCCTGTGTCAAGCTTTATACAATAGGGGAGGACGATCATAAGGGAGGCAGGCCCCAAGTCAATTCAGAGGGAACCAGCCCACATGGCTCAGTTGCAGGTAGAGACTACTTCAGATGGGTACAACCTTCCTTGCTAGCAGGGGCACAAACTGGGGATGACCAAAGAAGCCCAGAGCAAACCAGAAATGTCATTCACCTTCACACCCAATGGAGACAAGTAAAGAATGAATTTTGGTGGAGTTACCTGTAGGTCCAACTTCAGAATCCCAGAAATTCTTTGTGTTTTTGAAACTGAGGCCAATTTTTTCTGCTAAACTCCTGTTCAATTCCTGTGGAGGTGTATGCCAAGAGAGAGATTATGCAGGTGGGGTTTCTAGATTTCTCTTTTCAGAAGATGTCCTGTCTTAGGGGAATCATCTCTACCATTTCTGCATTTTTTTCCGGCTCCCATGCGAAAGTTTTTTCCCTGATTATCCCAGCCACAAATAATCTCTCCCTACTTTGAACTCTGAAGCACGTGTTTTGCATATGATCTCATAATTTTTTTTGCCTTAGATTATTATTAGTTTTGGTCATATGTCTAATGACATTGTAAGCCGTGTATAGAAACAGGGATCATCCATGTTTTGCTTCTTTGTACTTGCCATGGCCTTGTCCATAGAAAGCACTTAATAAATATTTATTGATCTCTTTGTTGACTCTGGAAATCTTTACTTTGGCATGTTTAACTAATTTTATAGACTTTTAATTGGCTGTAGGCAGGCTGTGGGGAGTAGTTAAAAAACAATTTTAAAGAGAAGTGCCATTCCTCTGAGCAGGCCTGATAAAACAGCATATATTATACCTAAAAATCTGTAAGAAAATTGGGGAGGAACTGCATTCAGCTTGGTGAAATGGTGAGCCACAGATGGAGGGTGGGGGTGGACTAGTGATTAGAAAAGGGGCGCCCTCTCGTAACACATTAATTCTTCAGAGAAAAATGTTGAATTTATAGCATTTCTGAGAGTACTCTTCCAGTAGCTTCTAAAAAAACCTGGTGAGTCATCCATTACTTTGGGCTTTGCCTATTGGTTTTGAAGCAACTGTATCGATAAAAACTCTCTGAGTTGGCGAGTTCCCAGAGTTCTTTGAAATGGACTTTCACACTTCTGTTTCCTCTTGTTGGGCTTTTTTCTTGTTTGCAGTGCTGAGGAAGCAGGTCTTGTTAAAGATGGGTGCTTCCTCCTGGGCAACACAAGTTCTGACCTTTTTCAAAGCTAAAGCAAAACAGTAGCCACAAACCCTGAGTTGGTCAGTGGTGTGGAAAGTGGCCTCAGGCATGGGAAGCTTAGATTAGTTCTTGGCACTGGCTGGAGGGGGAAGGGAGGAGCTGGGAGAAAGACGAAATCCCAGCCTGAGTTACTTTGGGGATTAAGGTCTGAAGAAGTGAAGAAATATGGCTATACCCTAACATTTTTTCTTTTTGTCTACAGGACTGGTCTTTCAAAGTTAGAACATAAGGGCCGGCCCAGTGGCGCACTGGATAGTGCGCCGCTTGGGAAGCGCGGCGGCGCTCCCATCCGAGGGTTCGGATCCCACATACAGACCGGCTCCCGCTCACTGGCTGAGCGAGGCGCGGGAGCAACACCGAGGTTTGCGATCCCGTTGC